TTCTAATTCATTATTTAAATGAGAAAGGGGTGTGTCTTAGAGGGTCAACTTCTAAAGGGTAATTATTACAAAGGCGAATAAAAAAAGAAGCTAATAAAAGAGATATATACATTTATGTCTCGGTGTATAATTTAATTTCTACCTATATTTATTTGTTTATTATATATTTGGGGGCAATTAACTGAATGCTTATTTATTTATTGAGCATTTATTTATTTTTAAACATAGCAGAGTTGGTCCTCCATACTTCTATTCTTTTACACATAATGAAATAAACAAACAAGATATAAAGTCACATTCAGAATTTATTAGATATGAGAGTAAGTATTTTTGTGTACCTTATTTCAAAGAAAACATTTCCAGTAACAGTGCAGGATACCAGGGGCTAAATTCTCTGCTTCCCCAGTGGATGGCTGCTTTTATTTCTATTGCTGGTGTCTGACAGTAGAATCCAGTGATTAAAACCTAAACTGATCCTTAACTGTGTGGCCAGAAGGAGAATCTCTGGGTTAAATGTGTGCAAATACCTTAAAGTAAACTAAGATGTAAATAACAACTCTCCCAAAAATGCAGATTTTTTTTTTGCTTTCAAAATAAAAGATGTTTAGGTATGTATGAAGTATTTAAATGGCTAAATAGCTCCATCTAGTGCACAGTTTGGGAAACACAATCTAGATCAATAGAGCCTCACACCATTTATACAACAAGTCCTTAAAGGTTTTAATTCATCTTTTTAATTTTTAATTGTCCTGTAATGATCACCTTGAAGCCTTAGGTGGAGATTTTAGTTTTTACCAAATTTTTGACAATTATACTTCAGTATAAAATGGGCAGCTGTCATAAATGGTGTCTCCTTAGTAAAATTTGTCTTTCTTGGTGCAGATTAATGGGTTTCACGTAATCAGGAAATATCTTTCAAATTAAAAATATTCTATTATCCCAAATGGAAAATAAAATGTAACTCATCAGCTTATTTCTAATGAGTTCTTTGTAGATAAGCCTTCCCAGACTGATGGAAGGCAGTAAAGATACTTTCAACCTGGAGAGACTCACACAGAGAAAAGTTTAATTAGAAAATATTAAATTTATTTATACAGGTAAACCAATTATATACTTCAAAATAATTTTCTCTGAGGAAAACCAGCTGATTGCAAGGATTTGTTGACTCTGCAATCCCTCGCACTGAGCATGCATGTGGCGACAGTGGAGAGGAAAACTCAATTTTAACAGGAAGTAACCTACAGTTGAACCAGGCTCAGTGTGAGCGGCCATCTGCAGAATCTGATTGGGGATTAAGGAGACAGAGGGAGATGAAGACATAAATGAAAAAAGTTATTTGGCGCAAGGGTCCCGGCAGAGTACTTTGATGCTATAAATCAGCATTCCCTTGGACGAGCAAACTAGAAAACAATTAAAGTAGTGTTTTCCGCACACTTTTGATGGAAAAAGCCAGATGGTGAGTGGAACTGAGAATGAGGGTGGATGTGGGGTGAAAGTTTGCTTGCGTGCAGCAGAGAGAGGCTAGCTCAGGAGCTAAATCAAGGGATCTCCAATGGTGATTGGCTTTGGAGAAGATGCAGCCCTTTAGTTGATTGGCTGAAGGTGAACAAGATACATCGCAGGTGGTTCAGGTGAAGCTGATAAAAGTCTTCCAGATTAAATTTATGCTTAAGCTTCATTTCTGTTAACTTTCTGTGCTAGCATTGTGTTTCCACCTGACTGCACAGCCCAGAGCAGCACATTGCTGAAGGTAGTGGAGTTTTCCCACAAAAGCATGATTACTGTTGTTTGATTAACAGGGAAATCTGTAAAGTTTTACATGTAAGATTTAGACTTCATTCATTTTTCCTTACAGTTAATCCTGACTGATACAAGGAGGCTTTTTTTCCCCATATTTTTTGTTTCTTTTTTACCTCTTTGTTTCTTCGTTGTGTTTCCAGATGGTGAGTCATGCCGATGAAATAAATGTATGTAACTCTAGATGCAGGATGCTACGCTAAGGCCCACAGTAGCATGAGTGAAACACACATCAGTTTGTTCTGTAATGGTCAAACAGACATAACAAGGTGTCTAGAAAATAAACTAGGAGGAAATACTTTAATACACTATCAGAGCGAGAGACCAGACACCCCTGCTGGCACGGAAATAACCAGAAACGTCTGGCCAAGAGGGGTGACAACTAAACAGAATCTCTGTACAGTTTCATTTTTTAGTGTGTTTGGATGAAACACAATAAATCAACCAATAATGAAATGTTATAAAACCAATGTTTTATAGCAGCTTTCTGAAAAAGTGCTGTGAAGCAGTCCATGGACATTTCCTTTCCAGTGTTTATAGATGATAAGGACAGTCAGGCACAGGTGTATTAAAAAAGAAAACAGGGTTCTGTTATTTAACCCAAAAAAGATCAAATGTCTCAAATATAAAATGGATCCAGACATGAGGTCAAAGGAACAAAAACTACAGAACTAACTCAGACAAACTGACCTGCCTTATTGAAACAAAGAGAAACTTAAATAGTGGCTGATCAGTTAACAAAAGAAACACATGGGGCAAAACGTACACCTCTTCTTTTCTAATTGAATCACAACCGTAGTTTTCAGCACATTCTGGAATTAATGCTCCGAGGGTGAAGCACAGCAGACAGCCAGGGTAAAGTAACAGACTTTTGCAGAATAAAGTCCAAAGCTTCCCACGGTGCATACGGCTTAATATCGTTAAAAAAGCTGCAGACGGTAGAAACTCACTGATGGTTTTTTTCCATCACTAATAGAGAGAAACAATAGCGAGGATCTAAAAATGCACTGGAATGGTTTCAGCAAGAAAAGAGTTCATGGACAGAAGATTTTTTAACCGCTTTTAAGCTTTGAGATGAGTTGAACTTGTAACAAGGACTTTGGCATGTTTGAAACGTTTTTGATGACGTCAACCTTAACTCATCAGGTTGAAAAAGATTAAAGAAAAAGGCACGAATGTCAGAAAATCCCGGTTTCGGGACTTATTTCTCTAGTTTAAGGATAACATTAAAAAAAAATAAGACTTGACTCTTGATAGTTTCTCCACTGGCAGCAGAATCACTGACACGTCCGCGTCCTGCTAGACGATGTTCCGCTCCAACATGGGCTCCTGCGCCAGAATCCGCCTGAAACTGAACCCCTTCAGGTCCAACGTTTGAAACTCTCCGTCCAGGATGAGCTCTGCCACAGCGCGGCCCACCGCCGGCGAGTGCTGCAGCCCGTGGCCGCTGAAACCGGTGGCGAAGTACATGTTGTTGATCAGAGGGTGTAAGCCAATGATGCCGTTCTGGTCAAACGTGTTGTAGTCATAGAAGCCCGCCCAGGCGCTGGTCACCTGATAGGAAACGTACAACAAGTCAGACCAGGAAATTCTGCTCAGGAGATAAAATTATTTCAAAAGAACACTATTGATCTCAGTTAAAACCATAAATAATGAACAAATCAAGTGAGGGAAATTAGTATTTGAACATCCTGCTATTGTGCAAGTTCTCCAACTTCATGAAGGGTCTGAATTGTAATTGTAGGTGCAAGTCCACTGTGAGAGACATAATGTTAAAAAAGAAAACAAAAAATCCAGAAATCCTAATATATCAGCTATCATTTAGAATTCTGACCCTAAAATACCTGTTAGTCTGCCTTCAAAATGTCTACCTCCACTTCATTTATTATCCTAAATTAGATGCACCTGTTTGAGGTAGTTAGCTGCATAAAGACACCTGTCCGCCTTATATAATCAGTAATCCACTACTAACATGGCCAACACCAAAGAGCCGTCTAAAGATACTAGAGACAGAATTGTCTCCACAGGGCTGGAAAAGGCTGTGGAAACATTTCCAAGCAGCTTGGTGAAAAAAGGTTCAATGTTGGAGCAATCATTAGAAAATGGAAGAAGTTAAAAATGACTGTCAGTCTCCCTCAGACTGGGGCTCCATGCAAGATCTCCCCTGGTGGGATCTCAATGATCTTAAGAAAGGTGAGCAATCACCTAAGAACTACACGGGACGAGCTGGTCAATGACCTGAATAGAGCTGGGACCACGGTTTCCATGGTTACTGTTGGTAATACACTAAGGCGTCATGGTTTCAAATCATGCATGGCACGGATGGTTCCCCTGCTTAAACCAGCACATGTTGAGGCCCGCCTTAAAGTTGTAGGGTAGTTAAATCATTCTGGCTTAAACATGTATATAAATTTACTCTTTATCAGACGATATTGTCCCAAAAGTTAGAACATTTATATTCATAAAAAAATCCTGTCTTAAAATCTTTGTTTTTTTTCGTTATCTTATGCAGGCCAGTTAGTTATAGCATTTTGATTCATATGTGGCAGCTAATATACGCAACAGTTGAAATCAGAATCCTTTCCTTTCCCATTGAGTTGCGTCCCAGTGTTCACGGGGATGGACGTCTGTGTCTTCAGCAGGCGTAGAGCTAACAGAACTGGCAGCGTTGCGAGGCAAGGGCTCAAACATGTACGGCTGGAAGCCTTCTACACCAAACCAAGCTTCTGCCGCCCTGGCGTCCTCTTCCACAACATCTTCGTCCCCGCTTTCCTCCTCTAAATAAAAAATGGATGACGGAGGAGACTCATCCACGACCTCCAACACTAAACTCTCCTCCTCTTGCATGTTTCCTCTGTCCATAGCGTTCCTTGACAGCGTCGTTTCTAAGTCACCAAATTTAGTGCTACTTGGTCCCAATGGAATTTCCCATTGGGAACCTGCTAGCACTAAGATGCTAACTGGTTAGTAAGATGCTTTGGAGAAACCGGCCCGTCCAAACCTGCTTGTGAACCTTCCGCCACAACAATCCCGCCTCCTAGATAATCGACCACTCACATTTACTTTACTCACTTGTGTAAAGTCGTGCACCAATCGGGAGAATTCGGAAATACAATGGTTAGAACAGTCGCTTCCCTACAACTTTAAGTTTGCCAATAAGGATAAGGATAATCCAGAGGAGTCATTGGAGAAAGTCACGTGGTCAGATGAGACCAAAATAAAACTTTTTGGTCATAATTCCACTAACCGTGTTTGGAGGAAGAAGAATGATGATTACAACCCAAAAACACCATCCCTACTGTGAAGCATGGGGGTGGTAGCATCATGCTTTGGCGGTATTTTTCTGCACATGGGACAGGACGACTGCAATGTATTAAGGACAGGATACCCGGGGCCATGTATTGCCACATTTTGGGGAGCGTTCTCCTTCCCTCAGTTAGAGCATTGAAGATAGGTGGAGGTGGAGGCTGGGTCTTCCAGCATGACAATAACCTGAAGCTCACAGACAGAATAACCAAGGAGTGACTCTAATAAAAGGATATCAAGGTTCTGGCGTGGCCTGGCCCGTCTCCAGACCTAAACCCAATAGAGAATCTTCGAATCTTTGAATTTCTCAGCGACAGCCCAGAAAGCTGACTGATCTAGAGACGATCTGTGCGAAGGAGTGGGCCAAAATCCCTCCTGCAATGTGTGCAAACCTGGTGAAAAACTACAGGAAATGTTTGACCTCTGTAATTGCACACAAAGGCTACTGTATCAAATATTAACATTGATTTTCTCAGGTGCTCAAAAACCTCAAATACTTCTTTTTCTCACTGTAATTATTTCAACAGAGGACAGAACACATTTGCAAGTCGTACCTTAAGTTTCTCAAATGCTGGAACTCGATTGGCCAATTTGGGCCAAACCTTGTCCTCAAAAAACTGATGGTCCACGTCTAGATTGCTGGTGTCAGGCTCCTCGGCCTCAGAAGACAAGCAGAGGAGAAAAAGATCATCTCTGTTTCAATGCAGTTGAGTCCGTGTTCAGAAATGCAGCCTACCTCCTCCGGTGATATTCCACAGATGTAGTTTCCTCCTAAGCCCTCCCTCCGGAAATAAACACCAGAGTAGTCGATTAGGAAGGGGGTGTCCAGACCTGGACCGTCAGGACAGTGTACCACATACACATACCTGAAACACAGCAAGGAATGTCTCATTTACATTCTAGAATATAACATTCTATGAAATGGTCACACTCTTTGAAGATAGGGGAATGAAACGTAATAGAGGCATTTAAACGAAACACAAAATGAATAATGATCTGTTTCAGAGACGGTTTTCTTTTTTAAGTGAAAGCAACCTCTTCCGAGGCTCTACAGGGACCGGGATTCCAGCGAGGGAGTCCTTAGGGCCGAGGCCAATCCCCAGCGTCTCAGCCAGTCTGCCAGAAAAGGCCCCGGCTGCGTTCACCACAATGGCGCATTCCACCGGCTGGTACTCCATGCTGTTCGGCATCTGCACCTGTGAGACACAAACAATCAAACACAAAGTCAGGCTGCTCTTGTGCTGAGACACAGGCGGAGCAGCTTATTTTTATTTATAAGCCTCAGGAACATAAGGAGAAGTGGGGAGGGGGAGTGGACTGCAAACCTGGTTTAATACTGCTGGAAAAAAACAAAGATTTTTAATAAAGAAATCTGTCCGTACTGATTACTTTCTTTAATTTTATGTTTATTGATTCTCAGGGAAGTATCATTTACATAAACTTCAACATGCTGCTATAGACTTAGACTGCTGGAGGACATAGGGACCCCTTTTTCATCAT